CAATTCACACACTTTATCTGTCTGGACCGGCGCTACGTCAGCCTGTTGCCAATGGAGCTCTCGTTGGTGTCTTCAATGCAGCTACGTCATCATCTTCAAGGGACGGCTGCTCACAAGTGCATTACTACAATGTCTCGACTTGCGGTATGACCACGCGTTAATAAACACGTTTCGTTTTGCACATGCGGCACCTCCCACTTACCTGGGTGCCAAGTCAGCAACTGTCAGCAGACAACAGATCCCAATAAAGAAGTTTGCTCGGATACCAAATTGTAATGAACTTAGTCTAACAGATACTCAGAAGTCATCCACTACCTGTAGAGTCAATATCTGCATCAGAGTCTCCAATTCATGAAGAAATATATCAAACAGTATCTCATTACCATCAATAGACGGCAGGGGGAAGAGACAAAGAAAAAGATGAAGAATCAGACAATGATACATCAATCCTTGCTGACCCTCTCCTTCCCCGGGCTTCTCCCTTCTTCACATCGACAATGATAATAAGTATATTCCTTATCATACACGGAAGTGCCACGTGGCACTCAATCTCATGAAGACCATCAAGACATTGCAGATTCCAGTATTGACTTCAAACCCAGGTGAGTACCCATTCTCCCTCAACCACAAATCCCGATCTTCCTCCTCCTCACAACCAATCACTTCATTTAGACAGCGTGGACAATGCCACGTCAACAATCAAAAACAGGTGGCAATCGCAACATCATCAATGTAGACCAATAGCAGCGCCACATCAGTATGCCAAGTAGACCAGAGGCAGCGCCACATCAGCGTGCCACGTAGACCAGAGGCAGCGCCACATATACCAGAGGCAGCGCCACATCAGCATGACACGTAGACTAGAGGCAGCGCCACATATACTATAGGCAACGCCACATCAGCATGCCATGGTGCACTGAAGAAGCGTCGGCATGCTGCCTCCACCTCGTGTCGTCGTCCGCAACGCTTTTGCACAGCCAGCATGAAGCCAGCGTAGTGTCAAAGTCGATCCAGCGTCAAAGCAACATAGCAAGACTGAATGCTTGACTTACTCGAGGTCAGCCTTAAGTAACAGATGTCGAGGCTGTCTGGCCTCGGGTAATTTTCCCACAGTCGTCCAGATTGAATCACAGCTGAGGGCCCGGATTGTACAGTTGCAAACTTCTCCCTTGGACCTGATGTTGTCTGGGTACCTGCATACAAACAAGTGTGTATGCTTGACCTGCGGCCTAGGCTAGGTACCCTTGGACTTTGACTGTTGGAATTTCCGACAGTTGACAAAGTCAACTGTGCCTCGTCCAGGCCCTGAGTCTTGACTGGGGTCTTTTTTCCCCCGTTCGGCCTGGGTCTCAGATGCAGCGAGGCTTACTACATGGGTTATTACAAGTGTCATTGTATTTTTGTGTTGTTGATGTGTGTGCTTACAGGTACCACGTGGTTGAGGCTTGGACGTACATCATTTTGTTTTCCTTTGATAGTGTGTGACACTGTGTGTGTTAAACTGTGTTTGTTGTTGATCAACTTCCCCTGTTGTCGAAGTTCAAATGCATGTCAATGTGTGTGTGTGTGCATAATTGTAAGAAGTAGTAAAATACTATATAATAGTCTATATTACTCTACAATGCACTAGTAATACTGTATATTTAATTTTTAAATATTTTTGGGTTCCCGACTTCTCCAGACCTGTCTAGACGTCCGGACCGTCCAGAACCTGTCATGCCCGGAGGTCCTTGTGCGTCCGGAAGTCCGGACGTCTGGACAGGTCCGGACATTGTCTGAGCGCTTCCGGGTCCGGCATAGCCATGATAAGTGGTCTTGTCCAAATGGGCACAGCGAGGAAATAGATGCCAATTCTTGAAGCAGATTCCCAAATTATGCAATGTTTTATCCGCAGGGAAAATGACAAAGTGCTGCCTAAGATGGTGCAAGGAGGCATAAGTAGAACAAAGGGAACATGGCTGCGTCATATGATTGGAGGACGAAGATGGATCGTATTGAAAGCGTGTGAGGATTGCAGAGAAAGACACGAAAAAGACGTAGATCGAGATTGTCTGGCCGACAACTTTCTGTCATTGTCAATGTACTCATAAAGTCCAATTGGCAGCGCTTCTGCAGTTTCCCCACAAGAAGCTTTGTGCAGTATCCCACAGGACAATTCCCTCCCTCCATTGTCAATGTACTCATAAAGTGCAATTGGCAGCGCTTCTGCAGTTTCCCCACAAGAATCTTTGTGCAGTATCCCACAGGACAATTCCCTCCCTCCTTTCTGAGTGGAACTAACGCCCTCCGGCAGCCTGCCTCCACTCTCCTTACATAAAGCATCATGCAACATCACTTGACACTCGCTTCCTCCACCTCTTTGACACTCCACACTCCCCCTCCCCTTCCCTTCAAAGGTTACAAAGAAAACATGCGCATGACCCTCCCAGTCATTTCCCTCCCCCAAACACATTGAAGAATACTCCCCCCCCCCAAGCTATGCAAACTGCTGATATGTGTCCGTAGGAAGAAGAGGATGAGGGGAAGAGGGCGAGGGGGTCTGGGGGGCAGGGATGATGTCGGGCTGCAGCATTCCTCAAAACTTGAGTGAACAGTGGCAAGCAGGCAAAGACTGGGTTTGGCATGTAAATCACAAACACCTTTCTTTTTTTCTTTTCTAAAGTGCGAGGAATGAGCCTCGTGGAGCCCTTATCAGACATACAAGTGTTCTGGGCTGTGGCCCCCCCAGCAAGGCTGCACCTGCCCTAAGCGAAGGTGGGCCTGAATATCCACGTGAGGCCTGTTCTCAACATTTTCCATATGTGGGTACTCAGACAGTTGCAGCACGCCAGTTGGTTACAGAGCAACTTGAGCCTCCTGGCTCTTTCCAGAAGCAAGGGCTGCGCTGTACAGTTGAGCCCAGAGCTCAGGTGGTTACGCCCTGGGCACAGGCCGATACGTCACGGACTGGCCGCGGGCAATGAGGAAGTAGCATTGAAATCACACATGTGCCGCGAGCCAATTAGAATTGGAGGCTGGGTGGCTGCCTGACCGTGCCTAACTGCACAAGGCCCAGGCCAGTATCTGAAACTGGGCCTGGCGCAGACATTTGGGGGCCAACTGAAGCTACTGGGCCCCCACACGCCTGGCCAGGACAGCCAGCAGTGGGCACACTTTCCATGAAGGATGGTGTGAGCCCCTGGGGAGGGCATTCTGGCCTGAGCAGGCATTGCGTCCACGCTGCTGCTTTGTCGAGCGGCACTGCGCTATGCAGGCAGGCTGGGGCTCACGCGGGTGCTAAGAGGCGAGAGGGCGCTGCAGTGGCAGCAGGCGCATGGCGGCCATAGCCGGGCCAAGTGTGCGGTGGCAAGTGATGGTGATGGTTGTCTTCGGGTAGGAGGCGCATGAGGCGGGAGACAAGGGGTGATGAGGAGAGAGAGAGAATGTACCTGTTGTATGCTGGTGGTCGGCATTGGTGTCGACGTCGCGTACATTGGTCTTCGACTCCGGTGTGATCCAGTCGCATGAACGTAGATAGGATAGATAGGCTGAGTAGAGTAGTCTGGGCGCTGGGCGCCAGACAGTAGGGGCGACATTGGGTACAGTGTTGGTGTGACGTGAGAGCATCAGCATTGGCACTTGCGTTCATTGTATTGCTCTTATGTGGATGGAATCTTGGTGCATTGTGCTCTCTGCTTCTGTCTATCGCTCTCACTCATATTCCTTGCAAAAGCGCGACTGTCTTGGACCAGCCCTACCTTCTTAAGCCGAAAAAAACGTACGTACCTTGTATACGAATACAACGTACATACGTTATAGAACGAGTTTTAGGGTACAACTTTTCAGAAGCCTGTAGTACCGCCATTGTTTTTATTTTATCCCAAATTTGGTTGGGAATTTCGCCGAGACCCTCAGGCAAAAGTTGTTTGCATTGCAATGTTGTACAACATTTTTTTTTTTCGGATTTTTTACTGATTTTTTTTTTTAATCGAAATTCTGAAAAAATCAGTAAAAAACATTTCCATCCTCGTTTTCATTTTTTTCTCGAATTTTCTCGTGAATTTCGATAAGACCCTCAGGCAAACGTTGTTTGTATTGGATTGTTGTATAACATTTTATCTTTTTAGGATTTTTTTAATTATTTTTGAAAAATCAAAGTTCCAAAAATTCGATTACAACATACGTACGTTGTATTCGAATACAACTTACGTACGTTATATTCGAACGTACGTTCTATTCGGGGAAAAACAAGCGATTTCTGAAAACCCGATTTCCAGAGGTAATTCGAATAGAACGTACGTACATTTTTTTCGGGTTAAGAAGGTAGGTAATTTATTCCATTCATCAAGGTCCAGCAGGATTTGAACTCAGGTCTGTATTTCAACGGTTCATGGGTGTACCAACTGAGCTAGGCTTCCGTGCGAGAAAATTCACGAGAAAATTCGAGAAAAAAATGAAAACGAGGATGGAAATGTTTGAGCGTTTAACATTCACTGCCACGTCTAGAGGAACCATGGTCAGCAACATTCACCACACCTCTGAAGACTTGGGTGCCTGCTTCTCCGCTGCCTGCCCCAACACATCCTCCCTCCAAAACTGGAGACCCCTAGCTCGACAGCCCGGTGTCCGAGCTGAACATCCACCAATTAACAGACTCCTGGTGGCTCGGGCACCCATTGTTCTGTTGCCTGTCTCAACCCCTCCATTCCAAAATGAACACAACCCTTGCCCCTCCCCCCCTTGTCTGTTCCTCCCTTCCCTCAATGGTCTGTTCAAAAGTCCACCTCCCTGCAATGCCTGCCTGCAGTTCCCTGAGCGTCTCACAGTGGACCATGGGGCAGTAGGGGAGAAGGAGCATGGCATAATAATAAAAAGGTGTAAATCTAATGAAAGGAGACAAATTCGAACAAATTGACCACATAAACTTGGGGAGGAAGGGGTGGTGGTGGCAGGGGCTGGGGCTGGGGCAGGGGCAGGGTCAGCGGGAGGCTCAACCAATTTCAGAAATATGATGTGCGCACCTTGGGCAGGCAGGGAAGGAGAAATTCCTTGACAGATTCATAGGTGGATGTGTAAATGGCAGAAATCGGAGCAGCAGTGGCAAAGTTACTGCCAAGGCCTCTGTAAAGTCCCATTATGCCTGCATAGAGACCACATTTAAACCACATCAAGCTTCCATGCATAAAAATGGACGAACCACTAAGCTGGGGCAGTTAATCTCGACAATCAATATGCTTGTTGTCTGATGACTTTACGCTCTACACAACCCCTGCTTGTTTTTCGGCTCCAATGCTGTTATCATACAAGCCCTGCAAAAACGGTGGCTGCAGCACACATCAGTGGTACAGAACCTTGCATCTAAAGCACAGAAACATGACGCCCCACACAACCGCACGCAAGTGCACGCACAAACACACCTATGCCTAACCAGGCACATGCCTGCCACACATGTACCCAGATGAAAGGCCTTTCACGATTCAGACCCCAAATTCGAGTTTCAGGGTCAAAGGCCTGGGCCAAGAAAGGCCAAGTCGGTCAGTCTCACAGAAGTCACAGTCGGGTACCTTAGGGGTCAAGTCCAACAGGCACCCGGCGAACAGTCACATCTCAGGGGCAAAAATCACGCCTCATAATGGAAAGTCATATTGGAAAGTCACATCTCACGGGCAAAAGACACTTCCACAGGCAAAAGTTGTGTCCAAGAGGCAGGAGTCACAAACCACAGTCAAAAGCGATGTGCCACAATCGAAAAGTCGTGACTCGCGGGCCCAAGCAGCACCACACCAATGCAAATTCGGGAAAGGTACCAGGCCCTGATTCGGAAGCAAACAGGTCGTAGGGATGTGGTACCGGAACCAAGTGAAAGCAGAGGCTGGCACGAGCTGAAGCTCAGTTCACGACAATATAAGGACTGGCCAGCCTCCTCATTCAGGAATTTGCTCATTCGCATGAAGTGTGGAAGTGCTAGTGCACTTGTGCGCTATTGTGAGGAGCGAAGCGCTGAGCCAGGTAGCTGCGCTAGCAGAGGGAGAGGAAGGGTGCAGCCATAGTTGCCCAGCGCTGGCAGAGGGAGGGCAGCCATAGTTGTGCCAGAGGGGTTAGTAGAGTTAGCAGTGGGTGTATTCAGAGTTGGTCATTGAGTAGTAGAGATTGTGAGTGCATGTAAGTAGGGAGACAAGGCACAGGGAGGTAGTAGACAGAGAGAAGACTGAGAGAGGAGAGAGAAGAGCAATTAAAGAGATACTTACCTAAATGAAGATACTGGTTACTTGGATCTGCGTTATTGAGCGCTGGTGACTGTAACTCTTACTTGCTTGTATGATAATTTGTTGGAATTCTAAAGCTGCGCTTACCTGGTCTTCTTCGTCTCTCTGTGTTTGTGTGCACTCATTGGTGGTGAACTGGGAGGTGCATTACAAAGATGCGTCCCACAAGCAAGACTCTAAAACTTTCAATGCAAAAATCAGGCAGGTGCGGGCGATAACCGCTCCAATCGCCCCCAAAGAAGATGGAAGGTGGGGAGGGAGAGTGGCAGAGCCATTGCAAGAATTACCAGTCGTTCATTGGCCGTCCTCCCAGAGTAAAAATAACGGAAACCCAGATTGGTCAAATGCACCGCTGCTGACATGGAAAAAAAGGGTGCAAAATCGTGTGAGCCGGTAAAGTCTATTCTTAATATTTTCCTGTTTCCCAAGAAAGTGAAACAGTTTTCACCTTTACGGTAATAGATGCCATTCCCAGGGCTCGATCCCTAGACCTCGCCCTTACCCGTGTACAGTATCGGTTGCCCTGTGTGTGCTTGAACCCGCGACCTGTGTCTTGAAGTCGCCCGTTTGCTTCTTGTAGGTAGTCTGGTCGTTGGGTTGAACTGTAGGTCTGTAGGTTAGAAGTCTTAGCAGTAGTAGGAGTCGTAGTTATTACAGTCCCCAAGAGTCCAGGTCGTCCGGAGCTTCCGGAAGCGACCCTTCGTAGGTCCTAGGAGGTAGACCATAGGCAAGTGGGCAAGTGGGCAGACTAACTTTGCCCAGTCAGCGATACCCAGTTCCGATCACACGATGTGTGGGACTGTGTGCACCCCGGGGCCAGGGTCCAAGGGCAGACCATTGACAATCCGAAGTATAAATCAAGAGGCAATGTCAAGTCATTCATTCATTCTGCCTGTGAGCCATGTGAAAGCGCTGCCTGGGCGTCTTGTGCAAGGAGGTCTGCAGGTGCCCGTAAAGTGAAGAGGGCTAAGAGGAGGAAGTGTGTTTAGTTGTAGGAGGAAGACCGCAGCCATAGCCATCACGTCAGCAAGTTAGAGTGTTAGTGTAAGTGTGTGATTATGTGCGTGTGAATGTGTTCGTGTTTGAATTGGTGTACGGGACATCCAGGGAGATCCAGTGAGTGTGTACGAACAAGTTGCTGAGAGTGCACGTGTCGCCCATAGCCGACCAAGACCAGTTTCAATCTCAGTTGTGTTCTTGGCTTCATTACCTCTGAGCTTTGTGCAATGACTTGCTGTTTTCTGGTCGCCTGTAGCCTCTCTCTGTTGAGGCTGTACTATAGGTAGGATAGATTCGTAATTTTGTTTGGCTGAGGGCTAAATGAGAGACCTCCCTGTGAGGGAAATTCGTAAGGGACATATCTGCAAATTCGGGAAATACAGGCCTGATACTAACAGGGTTCCCTACACCTACCCTAACTGCGGATAGCAGGCCCGGGCTACCCATTGGACAGACAGGCCCTAAGGGCCTATTCTCATAGACGGTCCTATAGCCTATAGCCAGGTCCGGTAGAGGCCGAGAGGCCGAAACAGATACGGTACCGGTCGGTCAGTCAGTCCGGTCTAGGTCGAGTCTAGGCTAGTTGTAGTCTATAGATAGGATGGGCACATCGGTTCAGGGCTTTTGACAGTTGGTACCGAGTACATCGCTGCTGCGCTACGTGTGAACCGGAAGTGGTGACGGCTCAGCGTGGAAGGAGGCAGGCAGCTTTCCTCCTCAAAGGTCATCTTGTCAGGGTTTGGTGGCGCTGCTGCAGACTTCCACCCGGGAAGTCTTCCGACACTTTGTCATCATCAGATACTGTGGCGCTGGTCTTCTTCTTCATCCTCTGAGGGGCGCTTGGCCTCAGAGGCCTGTTTCAAGGTGGCGCTTCCCTCAGGAGGCCGTATTTGGGTGGCGCTTGATGTTTCAGGGGCTCAGGGGGCTAATCAGGGTTGGGAAGTGAAGCGCTGCTCATTTCTGAGCAGCGCACTGCAGTACTGAAGTTATCCTGACAATTCGAGACTCTGAGTTTAATAAACAGTGTGATACTGTGTTTGGACTATCATCGTTTCATTGTCTCCTGGATGTGATCTGCTCGGCTTTTCTCTATGACTGGTTGTGAGGATTGAGTGGAGTGAATTGCACTTTCAGTGTACCCTATCATATCGCATGGTCAAGTCTTCCGCTGTGTTTATCTCTCCCTGTGAGGTGTGATACTCCTATCCTCTCCCCTTCCTGCTGTGTATGTATGGGCATACTTGGAAGTCTATGTGAGTGAGTGTTGGTCTTCAAACAACAAACAACCAGAATCATAACAGTTGGCATCGGAGCAATTGGATCCAGGCTCTGGAGCGATTGATGAGTTGGAGCACCCATCATCATCTGGCGAGATACTGGAGTTGATTTTCATGGCGATTCATCATCTTCAGGGTGGATGTCAGTAAGGGTGGTGGTTGTGAGTGTGTGGCGAGAAGAATTGGGCAGAGAGTGACTCACTCCTGACTAGGGTTGTGCAGGAGTGGTTGGCGATTGACACTCAAAGGCCTGAGAGGCTCTAAGAGGCTAAATTTAGCCTGGCGAATCATCTGGAGGCTGGCGATTGGCAAGAAAGTGATCCCAGGAGGTGGCGATTGTGGAATTGGGTCAGGATCCCCAATTTCCAAGCAGCGCAGTACAGGGTGATGTGGCGCTGCACTGACTTTGTCAGTCATTGGCACCTGGGAGTCCGAATTTTCTGAATCTGTTAGTTGGGGGTAAAGCACCTCAGGGTAATCTACGGGATCACCAATTTTCAGGCAATTTGGTCATGGGAACACTGGATACTGTCAGGAGATGAAACTGGCGAGATGGGGTTGACCAGTCAGCCATAGCCAAGGTTTCATGCATCTTCTTCATAGTTGACCCTAAAGTAAGTGTGTTCCTTCCTCCCCCCAATGTGGCGATTCTGGGGCTATTTTTAGAATAGCGAAATTTGGTATGTCTGTCAGGTGACAGTTGAAAATCGAAATTCAGATTGTGGGACAGCCATATCCAACTTCTCCTACCTATCTTCTTTGACTTCTACTAACCCTGTTTGACCTTCTTTCTAACTCATATTCCATTTGTGATTGCTTTACAGTATTGCGATTGACACTGTCTAGTGAATTGGTAAATTCAAGGGTCTATTGTCAGTGATAATGCCAACTTGAATTCTGCACTGACATAGCTAAAGCTTGGCTGGACTAGGGTCAGTCATAACTTTGATTCTGTCCGTCACAATTCAATTTTGTCAGTCCTTGGTAAATCGCAATTCAGTACTTAGTCAGTGTTTGAAATCGCACATCCAGATTTGATGTTCTGAGTCAGTTAAAGTGAAAAATGTAATTCGCCATACCTAGGGTATGGCATACAGGGTCATCCAGTGGTGAAGTCTGTAGGGTAGGTCTAAAAATAGGACAACCTGTAAATCGCTGCATCTTGGTCATCAGCGGACACCGGTCTAACCCTAATTTGTCACTCTGTCTAATTACTAATCAACACTAATTAGTCCAAGACTGCATCCTGTCAGTTGTTGACCCAGGATTTGCAATTATTGCATGCAATTGTTGTGTCAGGGCAGGGATGGAAAAATCGCGAAATTGTTTTTTGCCTAAGTGGACTCTAAACTGACCCTGACCCTCGAGTGGTCTGCTAAGACTGAGCACTCACTTGCTCAGACTAACCAATCTTCTCTCTCCAAGCAGGTGACAACAATTGAGGGAGTACTGAAGGGAAACCTCAATTCCTGTTACCTCCTGTACTGTCTTTAATTGATTGTTTATTTTTATTTATCTGCTGTGTGGGTGAGCAAAAATGGCCGATTCTGGGAAGGCAGAAGTGTCTCAGAAGGCTGAGACTTCTGATGAGAAGCCTTAGGCACAGCTCAAGATCACAGTACAACCTGAGACACCTGTTCTGCTTGACCCTCTAGAGGCTGAACTGCAGGCCCACGAGGAGAAACTCCGCCAGCAGGCCAAGGCAGTTGAGTCTCTAAAGGTTGAGCTGAAGAGGAAGGAGGCAGCCGCAAGAAAAGAAACGAGAAGGAGAGAACTGACAGCTGATGTAGAGAAGGTCAGGACAAGTGGCAGTTCCAGTCAGTACAATAAGGACATTGTTGAATTCGTCCTTCTGCACGATGAAATTCTTCAGTCCTATTTTACTAACTGGGATGCCAGGATCACCAGTTTGGAAGACAGCATGGTTGAGCACACTCAGCAGCTGAAAGATATTTCTTCCAAAATGAACTCTTTGATCACCTGCATATCCCCCCTGCTCAGACAGCTCCTCCCTCTCCTGGGCCATCTCAAGCAGGTTCCCAGAAACCCTCACAATCCAGATCTGCATCTCTATCCTCTACCCCCAAGTCAACAGCACTTTCACAACCCTCAACACCATTTAAGTTTCAGTGGCCTAAGCTGACACCTCCACCCATGTTCTCAGGCGAGGACCCAAAGGTGGATGTTGCAGATTGGGTTGCTGCACAGAGAACCTACCTGAGTGGGTTCAAATGTGATGAGGATGTAAAAGTGTCTACCATCCTTGCTCGCTTGGAGCGGGCTACATTGAAATGGTGCACCTCCACCTCCAGCAAGCAAGGTATGGAGATGGCTGATTGGGCGCAGAGGTTGGGGGTGGATGGATTTCTGCAGGCACTTCAGGACCGGTTTGCAGACAAGGAGCAGACCAAGAAAGCAGCAGATAAAATTCTGCGTCTGGGCTAGAAAAAGTTTGATGGCTCCTTGTCCAAACTGTACTCCACCTTTGAGAGTCTTACATCGGCTCCTGGGTTGGAGATGAGTGAGCAGGATCTGCTCATTCATTTCCTCAGGGCAGCGCCTGAGCAATTCCAGCTTGCTTTATTCTCTCAGGGCCACAAGGATTGGCAGTCCTTTGGCAGAGCAGCCCTGGACATGGAGTCCAAGCTCCATGTTCGGGATGCACCTTCTGAAGGAAGGAAGGGACCCTCCTCCAAAGGGCGAAGAAGGAGGAAGGGTGCGCTCTTTGCTGCTGCAGCGTCAGGATATGCTAGTGACGCAGCATCCCAGGGTGGGAGCCCTCCACCTGGGACTGCATCATCATTTGTTGCAGATTCTGTTGTTCTTGCCCAGGCTAATGCTTTGATGGGCTTGACAAAGGGCAAGGCCCCTGCCCAGATAGCATCAACCAGCAAACAGGGGAAAGGAAAGGGACGTGCCTCTTCCCCTGGTGCCCAGAGAGTACCTTTGCCACGTGACATCCGATGGCCGGCTGACCCCCTTGATCCTTCCACCTTCCCCTGGCATGCACTCAGGATCCAGGAGGGAGTCTGGAGGAAGAGAAAGGACAAGGGTGTCTGCATGAGATGCGAGGGGGACCATTTCCTCAAGGACTGTCCCAGCATGCCTCGTAGGTCTACAGGCAGCTCTAGTTCAAAAACTAGAGCAGAGAGAGGTGGAAGCAGCAGTTGCTTCCACCAGTGCTGATTCACTTTCAGATGAGGGTGGATCTTCACATTCTCTCCCTGGTTGTTCTTTTTTTTTGGAGTTGCATCATCAGGGTCTTTCACTTTTGAAGACTGAGTTGGATGAGACGTGGGAAGAGGATGATGCTCAGTGCCTTGCTGATCTTTTCCTATCCTTGCAGGAAAAGAAGAAAAAGCATAGATCTGAACTCGTCCTACTTCGACCCTTCATCCTGGGAGCCAAGATCAAAGGGCTCTTGGACTGTGGAGCTACTCGTAACTTCATCTCTCCCAAGGCAGTCAGCAAGCTGCACTTGGATCAGAGATTGGTGAAATTGCAACAACCTATAGAGGTGCGCATTGGAAACTCTACCACAGCCAGGATCACTACTCTTGTCAAGGGTCTACCCGTGTCCTTTGACAAGCAGGGAGAAGTCAGACGCCGCATGAACTTTCATGTGTTTCCTAATGTTCCCTTTGACCTTGTCTTCTCTATGCAGTGGCTTGGTGCCACCAATCCTAGGATCGACTGGCGGATTCCTAGGGTTCAGCTACCTGACCGGCATGGGGTATATCGCCCTTGCATACTCGCTGACGAGTACCATCCGGCCAGCAGTTGTTAATGAATGAGTACTCGCAAATTTCTGCGGTTTTCATGCCAGACTGACCACGCCCGTATGTTCGTGGCTTCTGTCAAACAAACTGACGTGGAGACTGCTCCCTGTCCCTCTCAGATTCAGCAGGTTGTAGACAGTTTCTTATATCTTATGGAGGAACCTACCGGACTTGTCCATCGGCAGACCAAACATAGGATTAAAATCCTGCCTAATTCGGTCCCTCCCAAGGGCCGAGTCTACAGGATGTCACCTGCTGAACCGGAAGAGCTCAGGAAACAGTTAGAGACCCTGACCAGCAAGGGTTGGGTCACGCCCAACACATCTGAGTTTGGGGCACCAGTCCTCTTTGTTCCAAAAGGGAATGGTGAGTTCAGGATGTGCGTGTACTATCGAGGTCTCAACAAAATTACGAGGAAGTCTACAGAGCTCCTTCCTCGCATTGATGATTTGTTGCATATGGTGCAGAACTGTACCATTTTTAGCAAGATCGACCTCAAATCTGGCTATCACCAGATTGAGATGGCTGAAAGCGATGTCCACAAGTCAACCTTCAGAACCAGGTATGGCACATATGAGTACCT